ATTAAGCTGTAATATTAATTATATTAATATTACTAATCGGAAGCGGCCTCCACCCAGGCATTCCGATCACTTGACCTTACTGAATATATTAGCTTTCTAATAATTCTGAACCCGCTATCAGAATAATACACTTGTTCGAAGGACACTATTCCTTTCAATCTCCTACTTGTCCTTCTGGACAAGTGTGCATTTAGTGTATAACCCTTATCATATGTCTCTTCATATCTCTTCATAAACTACAGCTGGCGTTTGGCGCTGACTAAGAAATTGACGCGTTTTCTTAAAATCAGATAGAAATTGCCGTACAGGAGGATAAAATCGTATTTTCCTCAAAAAGGTTCTTTTATTCTGATTAAAACTCTAAAAAGTAAACAAAAGTCAATTTATCAATGCTAATTAAATTAGGAATAATAAGAACCTTCTAGAAGAATCTAGAAGACTAAAACCATTCCTAATTTCATTAGGAATGATAAATCAATATTAGGCCCTCCTCTAGATCATTGGGCCGCATATAAGGCTTAAACCAGGCCCAGTTTGGTAATTTGGCCATAACTTCCTCAATATTCATCGAAATTGGGCTTATAATATATCGTTGGAAAGCTCTTTTCAAGCCCCATCCAACTACACTACTATTGGTCCCATATCATGGACCAACCAAATAGGATTGGCTGTTTTCTTAAAATAGGTTTTCAAAAACAGAGAGAAGAGAAATGAAATTAAAACTTTCCACAACACTAAACTTTCCACACTTTTCACTTCATTCGATTATGATTCGACGTGAAATGTACTCATCACTGGGTTTGGTTTTGGGGAGACACAAATGGGTGTCTACAGAAGCCCCCACTTTGACTGAGTTTGGAGAAATGCGAGTTTCGAAAACAAAAGTCAAAGTATCGATAGGGACGGAGAATGATTCAGAACGTTCTGCGATCCTAAATCATTCTTGAAACGCCGATACCTGCAAACTAGCGTTAGTTAAACAGATAAAATAGTTAAGAAACACGTATCTCGCACCGTCGAGCACACGTCTCTGAAAGTAACCGATTTGCTGCTGTATTAATGTTTTGATGACCTTCTGCCAAGAGAATGCATCCCATTTGAAAACTTCTACGCTTGTAACTGCCTTCAGTTTTCGCCTTGATAATATTCCACAAACCAGGGAACACTATCAAAGATTGCTTCGCTTGAAACAATCCTCTTCCGCTTTGTGACCATCTTCCACGTCTAAGGGAACATGATCGAAGACAACTTCGCTTGAAATCACCTTCAGTTCTTTTTGACAACTTTCCACAATCTAGGGAACGATGCCGAAGATATCCTCGCTTGAAGCTATCCTCATTATTTGCGATAATTTTCCAAAGGAAATTACCGAAGATCTCCGCTTGTCGATCTTTAAAAGTTCGCTTGAACTTTGCTTCCGCTATGCCTGTACGTCGGCGCTTTTACTGCTTTTGAACTTGTATGTCGGTGCCTTTTTCTGAATGAATGAACCAGTATGTCGGTGCCTTTTGCGATAAGCCAATGCTTAGGCGCTTTAAGCCAAGCGAAACGATCTTTCATCAGGTCGATCACTTTATGCAATCAAGCCGATTACTAAAAATCATGTCAAATTGCTCAGAGGGGCTAACTGGCATACCAAGGAACCCAAAATATATTGCAAAAGGTTAGAACCACCGTACTGAGTGGCTGGACATTCTGGCGCCGCTGAAATAACATCAGCGCCAATAAACCGGCTGTAGCGCCAGGCAATAAAGCCTATCTGCTGACGCCAAGGTCTGGCGCTTGGCGCTAGAGTTGGGTTTTCCTTAAATACCTTTCTCTTCTTCATTTTCGCTGCTGCTCGTTGCATTTCTTGCTCGAAAATTTCCAGAACTTCATTTGAGTCGTCCTTGCTCGTTTCTCAACCAAATTCGCTCAAATTTGTGTCAAATCAAAGCTTATTCCATCCATTTTCCCAATCTATGTAAGTTTTCTTCAAACTCACACCGGTTTTAATGAATTTTGCATGTATATATTCCCAAATTTCTTGAAAATTTGAAACTTAGAATGATTAATTCTCTTCGTTTGTCAAATTTTATGCCATGAATTTGCTTGATTATGTTTATATATTGCCTTGGGAGTAATTTGAAACTTGTTTGACTCAATTTGGTGAAGAATTGAACAAATTGCCATTGTTGAACCTCTTAAGGTCGGGAATAAAATGTGGCTTGTTCTTGATGTTTTTCTAGAAATTATTGTCCAATTTGTCACAATAATTACTATAGTATTGCAAGAAATTGTTTGATTGCTTTAAAAATGTCGTTATGTTCAATTTGAATTTGTGCTCTGTTTTAGTACTACGTACTCTGTTTTTTGCGAACATAGTATCATGCGGCTAGGCGAACCTTAGATACTATAGAACCTTAACTTATGAAAATTTTGCACAATGTAGCATGGCTAGACAGCGAGGTTCCGGTTCATGGTCCCGAGACATTCGACGGAAGCATGATCCCGTAGAGGACGATGCCAAGCCGTCCACTTCGCTTGGTCGACTCCCCGAGTGGGATGAGCGGACCTTGTACTTTTCTCCCGTCCATCATATTTCTGAGAGGGTGAGACGGGGTATCACTGTTGGGAGGATGCGTTGTCATGGTTCCGGCTGTGACGGCTTGGGCGATCTGTACAAGATGTACATTGCCAGAGACGATCAGACGAGAATTCTATGGGAGTCTTGCGGTCTTACTACGTTGTTTGAGACCTCCGAGGCAATGGTTGTCTCTAGCGGGGGTCACCATGTAGTTCATGCTCTGGTGGAGTTCTTTTGGGACACCACCAACACTTTCCACTTTCCCTGGGGTGAGATGATGGTCACTCATACCGACTTCAGTCTCATCACAAGACTGGAGTTTAGCTCCGTGCCACTGCCGTTCGACAGCGGGATCGACGTCTTCTCCCCTGAGGTCGAGGATCTGTTTTGTCCGATTGCTATTCGGGCTCGAGCTGAGGTAGAGTCGACTCAGTTCAGCGCTAGGGGGATTCGCCGCTCGACTCTAGCAGTGGCTCTTGACGATGGTGCGACTATCCGAGAGCAGCGGGTGCGCATCTTTGTACTTATCTTGCTGTCAAGGACGTTCTCCCCTGACAAGGGTAGTAGGGCGCTGCTTTACTATCTTCATGTCGTCCGCGATCTACCCCGGATCGGGACTTATGACTGGGCCAGCTTGGCCTATGCTGATTTCATTCGAGCGCTGAGGGACTCGTGTCGACATTTGTCCTTTGGGTCGAATGTTGCTTTGTCTAGCTTTTGGAGGGTCGTAGAGGTAAACCTTATTCCCTATAAAGTTTAGCTCTACATTTTAGTTAGCATTTATTGATAACTTTAGCTTCTTGTAGATTTGGTTCTACGAGTACTTCCCCTCACCTGCGCCGGCAAGACCGTCGCCACGCAGGTTTCCAGTTAGCGCTTCCTAGGGCAGCCGCCGTGTGGGGATGTCCACTGCCTATGTCCGAGATTGGATCATCTCGGTATGATTCTATTCTTATTTAACATTTTGAGATGCTTTAGATAGATTCTTGCTTGACTGATGCTCTTTGCAGGAGCCTAAGGTGTTGTACCAACCGTGGGTTGACCTGGCAGTTCATGGGTTAGCTGCGCAGTATTCTGCTGAGCGTCGTTATTTCTTGGGGACTTATGGGGTGACTGCATACCTTGGAGAGAAGGTTGCTATTCAGCATTCCTCCCATACATTTGTCGTTCCTGCTCCTCCACCACGTCACATGTTTAACGCCACGAGGTTGTTGAGCATGTTAGAGGGAGCTGGTACCCCTTGGCGATCTTACACGATCCCTTGGTGATGCTATGGGGAGGAGCTACTGCCGTTGTTAGCTCCAGTTCCTGTACCTGCTGAGGATGTGGCGGTACGATTTTTCAGATTTTACCTTAAGTTAAGTAGCCCCCAAGTAATGCTTTACTGATTTTGTTTTGCCTTGTTAGGACGATGATGCTGAGTTCGTGCCACCCCTATGTCTATCCATTATCAGGGGACATATGGTCCAATTGAGGAGATGATTCCTCCGGCTCCTAAGGACGAGCGCTTCGTAGAGCGGTGATTCCTCGCCACCAGACTCGGGTAAGCTTGTTTGCTTGCAACTTTTGTCCATATATATTATCCATGTTTACTGACTTATTTCTTTGATAGTTCTCACGCGAGGTGGTTTCTGCGATGGCACGATGCATAGATGCCTTCCGGAGCCAGCTTGTCCGGATGAGGAACGTGGCTACCTGCCTTCGGAACGACGCCGTTCAAGAGGTAGTCTTCCCTTCACATGTTTTGCATTACTGCTTCTATTTTGCCTGTTTCTGATTTCAATTTCTTTTGCAGAGTGAGCCCATTCCTTCTCGTACCCGCACGAGACCTGAGGTGCGGAGGGATCCGGCGAGGTCTAGCTCGAGACGTCGCCGCACTACTTCGGGAGGTCGGGGCGTTCGTTCTGAGGTTGCCCATACCGAGGCGGTAGAGGGCTCGGGTTCTTCTTCTGAGGGTGCACATGCTGCGCTAGTAAGCCAAGGAGAGGCTACCTCGACTCTTAGAGGTGGTGGGATGTACGAGGTTTGCTCGTCATCGCAGCAGCCTCCGCAGCCTCAGCCTCAGGTTGATCTCGGGTGGACGGGTCCTACATTGATCTTTCCTCCTCCCGCGGAGACTGGAGCTGATGCTGGAGTTGGAGTCGGAGTCGGTGGAGAGGTTACTCCTCGTACAGCGGAGTTTTATGCGATGATGGGTTTACGTCCCCCGGCGCCGTAGTTTATTCCTGTGGTTTTTTTTATTTATTTTGACTTTGTATAGAACTTTGCCTTTTAGTTAGACTCATTTTTTTAGACATCTTTGTATATACATACTATTATGAGTTTATTTTATTTATCATGTTTGTTTTTTCATTTTTTTATTATTATTATGTGCATGTTTGTGTGTGCAAGGAAATGTGACAAATGATTTTGCGCAAAAATTCCGTCATTTTTATTATTGGAAAATATGAGTTTTATTGCCAAAATAAGAAAGTTACAACTTACAAGAAGCTAAGCTGTAACAACACCAAATACCATAGACAAAAAAGGCTAAACCAACACCAACAGTCCAAGAATCTACCCAAACCACCTTCTAGGAAGGGTGCTTGAGAGAAACAAGGACACCTAATGGACTCAAGCTCACAGCCACCTTCTAGGAAGGGTTCTGAGAGCCAGGACCAGACAAGAACACCTTAGACAGAACCAGCACAAAAAATAGACAAAAAGAGCAGCTGAAAACACCAAAACTAGCTTAAACGAGCAAACACAGAAACAAGAGCACTAAAAAACAAGAGAAAAACACCAAACTACCAGCTGCCAAAACAAAAAGGCAACATCAGCACCCAAGCTGCAGCAAACTTGCTGTCAAACTTGCTGACCAGAAACAGCAGCAAACCAGAAACAGCAACAGCAAACCAAAACAGCAGCAACAGCACCTGAATCAGCAACTGCAGAAACAGCAACAGTCTGCCAGAAAGGCAACTGCAGAAACAACAACAGTCTGCCAGAACAGCAACTGCAGAAACAGCAACAATGCAGCCAATGCCAAAGCACTTGAAAAACAGCTGCCACCCAGAATTCAAGCTGCAGCAAGCAGAAACAGTTGCTACGGACTTCAGAAATCAGAACAGCAACAACCATCTGAAACCAGAACACAGCAGCAAAACCTGTTAGAACAGCAACCAGAACCAGCTCCCTGTCATCCCAACTGAGCAAAAAGACTACACAATCAAGTACTTGCTTCCTCTACAAGCTGAATGAAAGATAATATCTCTAACTAGAACATCAACAGGCTTACAACAACTAGTAAACAAAACTGCATTCCTCTGTATCCAAATACCATAGACTGTTTCAGTGAAGGCTACCTGGATCACTTTGTTTTTCATTCTGGAACTTCTGCAGATTTTCTTCAACCATTCAATCTCACACTAGTAGAAAAAGGCTCATTTGCGTCGCTCATTTATAGTGTATTTGCGTCGCTTCTATGAGCGACGCAACTGCTCGCGACGCAAATGATTTTAAAGTCATTTGCGTCGCTCCTTTATAAAGGAGCGACGCAAATGACTCTTCTGATAAACTTCTTTTTTGTTATTTGCGTCGCTCCTTTATAAAGGAGCGACGCAAATGACTCTTTTGATAAACTTCTTTTTGTTATTTGCGTCACTCCTTTATAAAGGAGCGACGCAAATGACTCTTCTGATAAACTTCTTGTTTGTTATTTGCGTCACTTGTTTATATAGGAGTGATGCAAATGACTGACTAGACAATACAAAATTGATGTATTTGCGTCACTTGTTTGTTTAACGAGTGACGCAAATGAGGTGATTTTTTTTTAATTATAATAATTGCCTTGTATATGTTTGTAGTACCTGTTTTCCTCACTAGTGGTATAAAGTAATATGCTAACGCTAATATAATTGAAATTAAAATGCAATATTATTTAATAATGCAAATGTAAATTTCGGCATAGTCTTCTTTGTAATTTAGCCTACCCATAAATTTGGGAATGACGACATTATATTAACAACCTGTCCAATAATTTACATCTCAATATCATAGAAATTATACTCATCATCCCAACACCAATTAACCAAATTTCATTTCAAGCCTATAATCCAAAACAAGAGTCCAACATGCGCTAAGTTTACAACAAAACAATATTGACCTCTTCATCATTAATAAGTATAACACAAGCACCAAACCAACCAAAATGTTGGTAAATCAAATGCGTTCATTTCAAGCCTAAGAACTATAACAAAATAATCCAATAAATAATATGGAATTTGAAGCCAGCGTAATTCAATTTAGGGACAAAATCTTCATTTTCCCTAACACGATCGAACAAGTCCATAATGGAAGTCCACTTCCTTTATCTCTTGCAAATAATTTAAATAAAGTCACCAGTTCTTGATATCAAATACAATTAATCAATAAACAATCAGAGTTGAGAATGAAGCATCAAAGCAACAAAATAATATTCTACAATTATTTAAATAACTACATTGCCTTTCCAAGAAAATACTAATAGTTGTTCCTCTAATTAAGTATACTAGCAGAGGAATAAAGGATTGATGCCAATTATTTGCAAAACCTCTTAATACAAAAACCAAGAATGGCATTCATACAATTCGATCAGGATTTTCTTAATACAAAAACCAAGAGTGACATAGCCATTGTAATCATAAACTAATGCATGACCTTATCTATTGCACAAAGAAGATATCAATGAGATTTACCTATAAGGACCATCACCAATAAAAGCAATCCTTGCTTCTGGTAGTTCATCCATTACCCTGCTCAATTACACAAGTCAGATATTTAGGAATATCAAATTAACATACAAGATATTTATGGTGCAATAGGAAAAAGAAATATTAGAAAGAAAATCTCCTCTAGCACAAAACATTTACAGTTCACAACTCCAAATTTGCAATTTTAGCTCTTCTTAATTATTGAGACGTTAAAATCTCAGAGAAAGACAAATTAAATTACTACAGCAAACCTCGTGATTACAATAGGATGTTTCTCTCATGACCAGTGCTTAAAAAAAGGGAATAGTTAACCCCTCTATGTTCTACACTAATACTGTGACCAAAGCAATACTCAGAGTTAAATTAAGGAAGACTCAAAGTCTCAGACTAAAATAGTAAAAATATCCAGAATATTAGAGCAAACAAACAGCATTTAAAACTTATTAACTGTACATGAGTCTTCCTTATTATCCGAATAGTGTGCTGCTGGCTGCGGGGTTTGCAAGGATAGTTCATTATTACAATGGCTATGCTAAAAAGGTTCTGTTGCCCCCCTCTGTTCTAAGACAAAATGATGTGCTACAAGCTGGAAGAAACCGTGCCTTGGGTGTGTTAAAGTAAACTCAGATGCTCATATTATTGAGGGGTGTAAGGCAAGGCTAGGAGTGGTCGTTTATTTTTAACAAAACGGCCTGGTAAAATTATTTCAATACAAACACTATGTCATAGTTTATCTTTTCACGGCCAAGTATATCATGGAACATTTTTGAGCTACAAAAAAATGGGAAAGAGCTTCTCTAAGTAGTAGCAGGGGAAAAATCAACCAGAATGAGCAGCAAAACATAAAAATTTAAAAAAAATAATAAAAATAAATAAATAAAAACAGTTAGATTTAAAAAACTGTAAAATGAGCAGCAAAACATAAAAGAAAATACAGTCAGATTGGAGAAAATCAATAAAATAGTAAAATCAAAATTAACCAAATCAACTACATAAATTCACCAAAACAGAACCAAAATAGTGAAATCAACTACATAAATTCACCAAAACAGAACCAAAATTCCTTAGAATCGAGTATAAATCCTATTTTGACGAACCCTAAATTCGAATATGAACCCCAAAAAGCTGTTATTTATAAACATGTTTGTAAAACTAGAATTCATGCAAAAAACAACAACAAAATAGGTAGATGAAACTAAGTTAATTTACAATTGAATCCAAATATCTATGTAGATTGAAGTGCATGCTAAAAAAGAAAAGAGATGAAGAGGTCTTACCTTGCTTGAAATCGATTTTGCATATGCAACTTCAGCAACAATAGAGCCAAAATTCCATATTATTGAGTACAAACCCTAACTTTCAATTGTTATTTTGCTCAAATTTAATTAAGGTAATTTGCTCGATTTTTTGTAATTGAATTTCGTGGAGATTTTGGGTAGATTTTTTGCAAGAAAGTAGGGGATTTTTGCTCGGATTTGCTCGAATATAAGGGGTTTTGCCTCACATTTGCTGGGATTTTTTATTAGTGGTCAAATTGGTAGGTTATGAAGACGAATTTCGTGAGGTATTACTCTTAATTTGCTGATATTTAGGGGGTTGAACAGCAGGAAAGCAGCAATGGGGAATTCAGGGGTTTTACCGATCAATTTTTTGGGGTTTTGATGTTGAATTTCTGGGAATTTTGGGGTTGAATTTTCTAGGGTTTGGAGTATTGAAGTTCGAACAGCAGAAGGCAGCGAGAATTAATATAAGTCGTAATGGTCATTTGCGTCACTCGGTAAAGAAAGAAATGACGCAATTGACTCACACAGGTTATTTGCGTCACTTGTCAATAAACGAGTGACGCAAATAACATTGTTATATGCGTCGCTCCTACTTATAAAAGCGACGTAAATATAAATAAGTTGAAATATGTTTGACATTTGCGTCGCTTTATAACAAATGCCCGACGCAAATTACTTATAAGGTTGTCAAAATATCTTATTTGCGTCATTTGTTTCTATGAGTGACGCAAATAAGGCGACGCAAATGAGCATTTTTCTACTAGTGTCATCATCAAACTGCTGAACAGGCTTGGAGACATGTAAAATACCCAGAACCTTGTTCCAAACCTGCCTAGAGTACTCACAATTAAAGAATAAGTGTTGAACACTTTCATTACTATTCAAGCAAAAGAAACACCTTGGATCACAAGAAATGTGCCATTGAAGTAACCTATCCTTAGTAACGAGCCTATCCCACAGAGCTAGCCACAAGATAAACACACTTTTAGGAGTTGCCAAGTTATGAAAAATGATCCTCTTCCAAGGAACCTTAGAGACTTGAGGTCTAATAGCATCATAAAGCTTCTTGATTTTCATCTTATTGTCCTGTATGAAACCATCCCATCCCCCTTGATCATTCACAATATCTCTACAACTTAGGATTTTCTTCAAAAACCAGGAGCATTTAGCAGGGATAGGAGTGGTCCAACAATATTTATGCTTGAAATAATAAATATGGACCCACTTGACCCAAAGATTATCAGCCTTGTGAGCAATATCCCAAAGTAACTTAGTGACAGCTGCCTTATTCCACTCAGGGAGAGAAAGCAAATTCCAGCCACCACAGACTTTAGGAAGACAGACATAATTCCATGCAACCAAAGATTTCCTAGCAGGAGTAGAGGAGCTAGTCCAAAGAAAGCATCTGAATCTAGCCTCAATCTCTTTCAGAATTTTCTTTGGTAAGATAAAGATTTGAGCCCAATATGCCTGAATACCAAACAACACACTCTTAACCAACTGGAGCCTCCCAGCATAAGACAAGTGTTTAGCCATCCACCCTTGAATTCTAGCAGTCACTTTCTCCACCAAAGGCCTACACTGAGCAATTGTAAGCTTCTTAGAAGAGAGAGGGACCCCAAGATATCTAAAAGGAATAGAACCTTGAGAAACACCAAGAAGCTCTTTAAGTTCTGCCTGAACATCAATAGAAACTCCTCCAAAGTAGACTTCACTTTTATCAAGATTAGCAGAAATACCAGAAGCACCAGAAAATTTTAAGAAAGCTTGGAAGAGAAGCTTGATAGAAACACTATCAGCTTTACAAAACATCAACAAATCATCAGTAAACATCATATGAGTTAGGTTTAACTTTTCACATCTAGGATGAAAGTTAAAATCAGGAGTTAACCTAAGCTCATCAAGGCATCTGGACAGGTATTCCATTCCAATAGCAAAAAGAAAAGGAGACATAGGATCACCTTGCCTTAAACCTTTCCTAGCTTCAAAAGGAGGGGCAGGGAAACCATTGACAAGAATAGAATAAGAGACAGAAGTAAGACAAGTCCAAATCCAGGTAATAAACCTTTGAGGAAAACCAAGCTCCTGCATAATAGTAATCAAAAATCCCCACTCAACTAAGTCATAGGCTTTCTTCAGATCCACCTTAACCATGCATCTAGGTGAAATAAATTTATGATCATAGCCTTTGATCAACTCAGTTGCAAGAAGGATATTGTCTCCAATGTGCTTGTCTGGAATAAAACCTGCTTAAGCATCATCAAAGACCTCACCAATGACAGCAGCAAGCCTAGCAGTTATGACCTTAGAAATAAGCTTATAAACCACAGTGCAACAAGCTATAGGTCTAAAATCCTTAACATGAGAAGGATTAGGGATTTTAGGAACAAGAGTGATAGTTGTGCAATTCCATTGCTTAGGAAAGATCCCTTTTGTAAAGAAATCAATAACACTTGCATAAATATCATCTTTCACAATATGCCAAGCTCTCTTAAAGAAAAAGGAGTTAAAGCCATCAAAGCCAGGAGCTTTAGTGCTATCTATTCCTTTAAGGGCAGCATCAATTTCAGCATGAGAAACAGGACGAATGAGATAGCTCTGAGATACAGAGCTAAGCTGTTTACCTCTCCTCATAGTAACAAGATCAATAGCAGGAAGCCAAGGAGCCTTAGTCCCTAAAAGAGACTTATAGAAAGAAATAATCTCATGAGAAATAGAATCCGGGTCCTTAAGCAAAACTTGGTTAGAGTTAAAAATAGAGTCAATTCTGTTCCTTGCTTGCCTATTCTTCGTCACTCAGAAAAAATAATGGGAATTGCCATCTCCAAGCTTAATCCAGTTGATCCTAGACTTTTGTTTGAAGATGCTTTCTTGAATATCATTCCAGTGTTTGACAACCTTAATAGCATCAGATTCTTTTGCATAAAAATCCAAATAATCAGGATTCTGAGCCATTAAGTTTTGAATTCCAGCAAGTTCAACATTAGCTTGATCAATCTTCTCAGCAATACTGCCAAACTGCTTGCTATTAAGAGACTTGATACTAGACTTCACAGAATTAAGCTTCTGCCAGACAGAACTACCAGAACACCAAGCCTGAGAAACAATATCAAGGAAATCAGGATGATCAGCAATACAGTTGAGAAATCTGAAAGGTCTACCTTTCCCAGCAGGAGCAGGACAAATATCCAAAAGAACTGGACTGTGGTCAGATAAAGAAGGGGGAAGATAGACAGTTTCAACATGACCATGAGAGTCCAACCAAGCTTGGTTACCAAAGACTCTATCAATCCTAGAAAGAGTTCTAGGACCAATGTGAGCCTTATTTGACCAAGAGTAGAAGGCTCCTTTGCTCTTTACCTCAGTGAGGTCCAAATCATCAACCAAACTCTGGAAATCTCTAGTCTCATAATCAGTAACATCAGTACCATGAAGCCTATCTGAAGTATGAAGAATAGAGTTAAAGTCACCAGCACAGAGCCAAGGAGAATGCTGAATAGAGATGTTCCTAATCTCTTCCCACATAGGAAGCCTATCATGAATAGAAAGAAGCCCATAGATAACAGTGAGATGAATTTGAGTAGAAAGATCCTTAGAAAGGACACAACAATGTATAAACTGCTCATGAATCTTTAAGACATTGACAGTTACTCTATCTGCATTCCAACCAAGCCAAATCCTCCCTTTAGGAGAATGATCATAATTGCACACCAAAAGCCAAGAAGAGCCAAACTTCTTTTGGTAACTGAAAACATTTTTTTATTTGAATTTTATTTCAAGAAGTCCAATAACATCAACTGAATGAGAATGAAGCAACCTTTTACAGAGGCAACTTTGCCAGGGTCATTTAGGCCCCTGACATTCCAAATAGAGTAAATCATGAAACAAAAGGGGGATTAACCTCACTCTCGCTTGGATTTATAGTGAAACCACCTGCACCATCCATTTCATTTGCAAATAAAGCAACAAAAGCATTAGAGGTAGAAGCAGGCTGATTAACCCTAGTTTGCTGGCCTTTTATCTTCCTTCCAACTATTCTCCACCCCTCATCTGAGTTTTGAGGAGTATGAACCTGTGGATTGATAACAGATTGCCCATGAACAGAAGCATCAACATAAACAACAAGAGCAGGAGTTTGACTAGGTTGCTTCTGCTTAGGAGCAACAGGAGCTGGCTGCTTATGAACCTGCTTAGGCTTAGCAGGAGCAGGTTTATTAGAGAAATCATGGCCAACCTTGTTGCACTTAGAGCAAAAAGGTGGAGCCCACTCATACACTACCTTGAGCTTCAGCAGTTCCTTTGAGGGACTCTCAACCACGACAGTGTTAGGCATAGGCTTTCTAACATCAATTTCAATTAGAACCCTAGCAAAAGACACTCTAAGCTGTCTAGTAGTACACTCATCAGCACAAATTGGCACTCCAAGCAAACTTCCATTACGGCTAAGAGTATCAGATCCCCAACAATTAAGTGGGAGATTAGGAAACTTAACCTAGAGAGGAACAATTCTCAGTATTTCAGCATTAAAATCAAATTTAGGACACCCAGGCTAAACTATTGCTGGTTTTCCAAGGAACATATGAGGACCAGAACAAAGTATAGTATCTTTATCATCACTAGAACACAGATTAATGATAAAGTACCCATCATCATGCCAATAAACCTCTGGTGTCTGCATATCACTTCATTGTTGGGCAATAAAACGAAGAACATCAGCAATAGTAGGATAATAGCCAACCACATAGAAAACTAAAGCATTAGACCACTTTTTATTACCTGCATCAAGCTCAGATTCTTACAGTTGAGCAACTTGCTTCCCATCCTGAACTTTCAAAGCAACATAGGACAGGGGAGCTCCTTTAGCAGTCAGTTTTCTAGAGAAGGGAACAACTCGATCCTCACCATCTTTATATGTATTCTGCTCCGGGGAAGGTATAGAATGATGAACGGGAACTATCGGCTCAGATCGATGCCCAGATCCTCCAGCTTATCCACCTCCTGAATCCCAGAAACCCTAGGTACTGTTCTATTGAAAATCATCGAATCTGGCCTAGAAGTTGCTTCAGCAAATAGAGCAATAGTCTCAACATCAATTCTGGGAATAGCACCACATACTGGATGCACCAATGCCGACGCCGGAGTAACCAGCTCATCCACCTCCTGAATTGGACTAGGAACAACTGAAGTGCCTGAATTCCTCAAATTCTGCAAAATTGTGTCTAAAGATTCATGAGTATTCTTCTGCCTTACTACTTGAGGTGTAGAAGTGTTCTGTTTCTTCTTCTTAGCCATCGGATTTCAATATTGATGAAAAAACCGATCAAAGTTAAAGAACCATGGAGAAGAGAGAGAAGAGAGAAAGTCAACGAAAGTCAAACCTCTAACCCTACCTTTTTTATTATTGATGGAGGGTATCCGACTTTCTCCCTTAAAAAGAAAAAAATGAAAAAAAGCAAAAGTCAAATAAAATAATGGATTTATAAAAACTTGGAAATTAGTCCAAAAAAAAATATAATTAATATAATAGATATATTAATTAAAAAAAGGAATAAATGAATATTTAGAAAAAGATAAGGAAGGCGTAAAGTAATTAGCAGACTCGAATTAAGTTAAAAACGCGGTGTTTAAAAAGCGCGTACGATGAGGCAAATTGGCGCCAGCTGGCGCCATGCGTTTTGGTGTAGCGCCGGGCGCTACACTTAGCGTTTGGCGCCAGGCTCTGGCGTCAGGCGCCAATAGTAGCGTTTGGCGCTAAAGAGCGCTGACCCCGAATCCTTCCCAAATCAAAACTGCTCCGATTTTGTGCATAAATAGCCCCCTGTCCAGCCGATTCTCTTCATAATTTCAGCAGATAAAATATTTCTTAGCTTTTACAAAAATAATATCATGTCTCTAGTCACCAAAACTTTTACCAATTACACCCATGAATGGTGTCGGTCTCTTAATGCCAAAGAAAGAAAAGAATTAGATGTGTTTCACTTGGGGGGTATTTATGGTATCAAAGGGGTAAATCTTGACTCGGATTTTATTCATACCGCTCTAGAATATTGGGATGTAGATACCCATTGCTTTAGAATAGGGTATGATGAAATCAGCACTTTGGCGGAAGAAATTGGTGCTATTTTAGGTTTCCCTGTAATAGATCTTGTAGTAATCCCTATAATAGATGCATATTATTATAAGGAGTTTGAACATTTCTTCAATTTAAAAGACAGAGATCTATAAAAAATAGTAGATGGTAATATAGTTAATTTGAAAGAATTTGCTCGCCATTATTTTGAAAGACCTTATTCTGAATCCTTCCATGTTTATAGAAGAAGGGTTTTCTTGTTTTTCATGCTTAATTAATTTTTTCTTACTAGTGGTAAAAATAATGAGGGTCAATCAATTATAACCACTGTATTAGAACAAATTGAATCAGGGAGGAATCCAATGCCTTTAATAGTTGGAGAGACTGTGCTTAGTCTTGATGAATTAAAGAGGAATCCAAAAGCACCTTTTCGGGATTATACAATTTTATTACAGGTAGAAAAATAATATTTTTAATTACAGAAATCATAAATATATTTTTGTATTGTAATAATAATTTGATTTCATTGCAATTTTTTTACAAATGTGGCTAATGGAAAGACTGGAGTTAATTAACCGTCCTGACAACATTGAGAAGTATACTCCAAATTGCTTCGTGAGGAGGAAGAAACGCTTCTCTAAGATGGGGCGCCATGAATGGAAGAAGGTCTTCTAATCCTGCAATTTTGCCATCAAGTGGGTCATCCCTTGGTGGAAAATAGAAAGGATGGTTGGTGTCAACAAGCAACCTTTCTGCCGTCTTCCAAGCTTGTCCCGTATGACTTTTTACTGTCCCTTGAGGGTAAAAAGACAATACGACCTACTTCAGACTATTCCTTCCGGTGATCTTCGTCGTCCCTACGAGTTCCCTGTCTCCCAGGAAGTAGACAAGTTTGATGCTTATTGGAGAGCTAGACCTTTATGGGAAGTAATCACCCAAAAGGTTCCTCCTTCCTTGCCCAATGATGTGAAAAAGTGGTTTCTGAAGAAACCTTCAAAGGACGTGAAGAAAAATCAGAGAAAAACTGATGTGAAGAGTCGACTAGGTGACAAGGTGATTCATGTTAAGGAACGCTTAGGTGAAAGAATTGAGTTCAAAACACCTACAATGCCTAAGAAGAAGAGCACTACAAAAGATAAGGGAAAAAGGAAAGCAAACATCACAGAAAAGAAAGCTTGGGTAAAAAAGAAGCATGGAGTCCTAGCTGAGGGGAAAACTATTTACTCCAAGATTGAATGTAGATCCTCTAAAGGATGCCTACTAGCTAAGGTTATGGATGAGGAGGAAGAAGCAGACAAAAATTGGAAAAGGGCTAAGAAAGAGAAAGAAGATTAAGAGCATTGCTTAATTTCCAATTATTAGACTTAGTATATTTTTTTTTTATTTAAAGTTAATTTTTTTAAGATTTATTTAAATTCCATCAATAATGTAATTTATTTTATTAATGAAATTCCAGCTTTTAATTAAATTATTTACTTTAAATTTATTTTATTAAAGCAATGAAAACCGAAAAAATTAATTTTCCAGAAATTTTTTCGAGTACGGAAGTCAAAAATTTTCCGAAAAACACTGAAATATTCCCAGACTGTTAACTGTAAATTGGCGCCACCGATCGGCGACTGGCGCCGGATGCGGGAGTCTGGCGTCAGGTGATGGATGCGGTTGTCTGGCGCTAACGGTCATCGGCTGGCGCCAGAGTTTTTTCTGTGACGCCGATGTTCCATCGATCTTCTGTCGAATTTTAAATTAATTCAGGGATGCGATATTTTTGAAAAAATAAAGTGGTCGCACCCGTAAAGGGTTGCCTACGTATCCTTTCTTAAAGAAATCAGGCCAAACGTAGCTCTCTTGAGTGTCCTACTCAAGTAATTATGGGTAGTATTTCTTAAGTTGGTCAAGATTCGTCATGTTCGAGAACTCATTGCCATCCATATCAGTTAATTTTGCTACACCTCCTCACAGGATTGTTTTGACAATGTAGGGTCCAGAACAATTAGGTCTAAATTTTCCCCTTGGATCTAAACTATTCTTCCTTAATGCGATTTTGGTAACACTAAGTGTGATGTAGAGCTTCTAGTCGTTTTTCATCGAGTAGAATTAACTCTTCATATCTTGCCCTAGTCCATTCAACTTCATCGAGTTTACTCTCTAACGCGATGCGTAGAGATGGAATCTCTAGTTCGACAGGTTGTACGACATCCATTCCATAAACCAAGGAAAATGGTGTATTCCCTGTTGATGTGCGAATTGACGTGCGATAACCCCACAATGCGAAGTGAATTTTGTCAGGTCAATCCTTATAATTTTCCGTCATTTTCTCGATGATAGTCTTTAGATTCTTATTAGCTGCCTCGACTGCTCCATTTGCTTAAGGTCTATAAGGGGAAGAATGATGATGTTGAATGCCATATTTTTGTAACAATTCTTCACATTCAGCTTGAAAGTGAGTTCCATTGTCACTTATCATTTCATGTGGGACTCTGTATCGACAAATAATATTTCTCTCGATAAAGAGTGCTACATGTTTTGCAGTGAGTTTAGCGTATGATTGCGGTTCGACCCACTTTGTGAAGTAATCAATTGCCACTAGGATATATTTGTGGCCTCCTGTTCCTGGGGGAGTGATTTTGCCAATGATGTCAATTTCCCATGTAGAGAATGGCCATGGCGACGTGTAGGTGTAGAGCAAGGATGGAGGAACATGTTGTAAATTGGCATAGATTTGGCACTTAGGGCATCTTTTTACGTATTGATGGCAATCCCTATTCATTGTAGTCTAATAATATCCTTCTCGCATTATCTTTTGGACTAACATTTTGCCATTAATGTGAGTGCCACAAATTCCTTCGTGGACTATCCTTATTGCTCTTTGTGCGTCCTTTTACACATAAGAGAGCTCGACCCTTAGGTACCCTTTTATGTAGCTCGTTGTTTATGAGTACATATTGGGAAGCCAAGAGTCTTAAAGCTTGTTTTGCTCTTTTGTCAGCATGGGGAGGGTATTCTCCTTTGGTAACATAATTGAGTATATCCGTGTACCACGGTTCTTCTTCTTCTTATTCTTCTTCTTGAACTACTTCATCATCTTCTATAGCTTGAATGTATGCTGGTTTGTGCCTTTATTCTATAGTTAGAGGCATTTGCTCGATTTTCGTGGGAATTCTAACCATCGAGGCTAGTCTTGCCAAAGCATTAGCAAATTGATTTTCTTCTCTAGGTAGATATGTGTATTCTACCTTCTCTAACTGATTAGTAAGAGTTTCTAGATAGGTTTGGTAAGGGGCTAGACTTTCGCTCCTTACTTTCCACCTTTTGGATATTTTATTGATGATTAATGAAGAGTCTCCGAATATCCGTAATTTTTTTACTCCCAATGTCAAAGTTGTTTCAAGGCCTACCACGCATGCTTCGTATTCAGCAGCGTTGTTGGTAACGTCGAAGTCAAGCTTTATGGAGATTGGGACATGCTCTTCTTTAGGTGATACTAGTAATACTCCAACACCACATCCCTTTTGGTTTGAGGCTCCGTCGAAGTATAGGGTCCAAGTATCATCTTCAGTGACCATCAAGTCTTCATTTGGAAATTCGTTGTCTTGTATTGGCGTCGAGTCTTCTATTTGAAAGTCTGCTAGAAAGTCTGACACCACAGATCCTTTGATAGATTTTTGCGGCATAAACCTTACATCAAACTGGGCTAAATTGACTATCCATCTCGATATGCGTCCATTGAGTGTAGATTTCTCGAATAGAT